TCTATCAGATAGCTCATATTGTTTCATGCTTGGACTATTATTTGAAGAATTAGACAGTAGTTATTTTAAGCACAGTAAATATGTTCCAAGATTTGTGATGAGAGAGGTCAGTCTCTAAAGTTACTAAGACTTAATAGCTTAGCAATGTTTTTCACTCTGTATACTTTGAGTCAACAAGGCTATTTCCCCAAAACGAAACAGCCCATCACTGCTACTTCTTCATATTTTATACTCAAAATTGTGTTCTATATTAATACTCATAATTAGCAAAAGTTGTTTTCCAAGATCTAATTACTTTGCTAACATAGTTATACTCTATTTGAACCTTCAAACTTTTAGAATTTTTTATAAAAACTTTGAAAGTTTATTAGAAATGTTACAAAACAACTCCTCTCTAAGTAGAAGAGCTTAACTTGTTTGTGCCCAGCAAGCCTCACTGGCAGTGTGGTCACTACCCATTTCCTACATAGTACTGTACATGGACAGCCTTCTCTGTTCTACTCTCAAACTGGTACTGGACGACCCTCCAGCACACTACAGGAAGAGGTCGAGTTTTGTGGACATCATCTGATAACTCCAACATTATTTCAAATAGATACAGAGACTTCCTTTGACTTCTGTACTTTCAAGAAAGCATGACTGTATTTTTGGAGGAGTCAGAATGATATACCAAAAGGTACTAGTGAATATTAGATAGAAATTTATGAATCATAAAATTATGACTTCGGAAGTCACATCATTGGGCCCAAATTGTCCTCCAACAAGCAATCCCCCATCGATTCTTTAATGTGACACAAAGTGCAGCGTAACATGTGATATAGACACACAGAAAAAAACATAAAAACCACACACAGCAAATAAGGGAGCAAGAGATCCAACCACACTGGATCTACACATAGTAGACTCCCCTCTTCCTTCAACAAAAAAGATAAATTGTTCAGCGAGTTGTCAGCATCTCACTAACACTAATGTACCAATGTCCACAACATTCATGAAGCAAATGTCTAGTACTGCTAGTTTTGTAAATGAAAAGAATCCTAAGACTTGAATGATTTTTCCAAGGTCACACACAGTTAGAGACCAGGTAATATTAAATTAAGTTGTCAGATTTTATACTCATTATTTCTAATCAACCTCTTCCTCAAATGTAACAACTATCTCACTGTATATGCTGTTGTGTATTTACACATACACTGTCTAATAAGGTAGCTACCAGCTGTCTGAGACTATTAAACACTTAAGATACAGCTGGTCTAAACAGAGAAATACTGTGATGGTAAAATGGACTTTGAAAATGTAGGAAAAAAATCATGTGAACTATTTCATTTTTTAGGCACAGACTAATGTTAAGATGACATTTAGGATATCCTGGGCTAATAATCGTTGTACGGCAATAGCTTTGCCTCCCTCAAAACATAAATATTAAGATCAAACCAAAAAAGCAGTAATCTCTTAATATTTGTTACATTCTACATACAGTACATATGTAACACAATGCAGTAACTATATATCTGGAGGAGGAGAAAGTGCACATACATGTTTTGGAGAAATAAAAGCATATAAGTGGCAAATACAAGTAATAGACTTGTGTTCTAAAAGTAATAAAAGATGTCTTTGTGTCATTATAAGTGCACATGATTTTAGAAGCTTTTTGCTTTCTTTTGCGTACTGGGCAGCCTCATAATGCCATAATTCACCAGTGAACGACACCCACGTAGGTGATTTTGAGCAAGTCATAAAAGTAAAATTTTTACTTAATCATATTTGTAGATGGAAATATTCTAATTTCTAATACATATACATGGATTCAGTCATCAAAGAGTAGATACAGATATTATGATCCCCAGATATGCTTATATGCTTTTTTAAAAATTTCCACTCTTTTTATTTTTTATATTTTTTTATTTTATTTTATTTTTTCGAGACAGGGTTTCTCTGTGGCTTTGGAGCCTGTCCTGGAACTAGCTCTGTAGACCAGGCTGGTCTCGAACTCACAGAGATCCGCCTGCCTCTGCCTCCCGAGTGCTGGGATTAAAGGCGTGCGCCACCATCGCCGGCTTCCACTCTTTTTTTAAAAAAATATTTATTTATTATGTATACAATATTCTGTGTATATGTCTGAAGAGGGCACCAGACCTCATAACAGATGGTTGTGAGCCACCATGTGGTTGCCGGGAATTGAACTCAGGACCTTTGAAAGAGCAGGCAATGCTCTTAACCACTGAGCCATCTCTCCAGCCTCCCTAATATGCTTTTATATTTAGTTTTAGACTTCCTATTATAGTAGCCAAGTAGACTCATTATTTAATCTTTTAGAGACTACAGTGGCAGGAAAAACATAGTAAGGCTACTTTTTTTTTTTTAAAGAATAATTTTAAAGCAGGGCAAGGTGGCATATGCCTGCATCCCAGCTGGGAGGGCAGCAGGGATGACCAAGCACAAAATAAAAAAAATACAACATTGTGGCAGGTTGGACATGATGGCACATACCTGTAATTTTATCATTCAGGAGGATGAGGGAGAAGAACTGAGAGTGTAAGGCTTTCCTGGGCTACAGCTACATAATGAGACCTTGTCCAAACTAAAAGAACAAGAGGGAGGGGTGAAAGGGGTAGAAGGGGAGAAAGTAAGTCTGGCAACCCTACAAAAAAATCTAACATTTCATATCACCTAGCATCTCTTTCTTGATTTGTAACCAAAAGAAATAAAACTGTCACATAAAAATGTGTACACAAATGCTCTTATTAGTATGTAACTAACAAGGTTAATGATGTGTCCATGAAGATGAACGTACATGCACAAGCTGATCTAACTATATACAGAAATATTATTCAACCCTATGAAATATTCTTGATATAGTATGGATGAACCTTCAAGGTAGGTAGGTAGTCACAAAGTATCATAAAATGTACATTCTGTTTACATGAGTCATTCAGAATGGGCAAATGAAACACCGCTTTTTGGCCTGGAGTGGCTGAGAAAGAGGATCACTACTAACGACTATGTCAGGGGTTCTTTAGAGTGGCAAAAATCCTAAGTACCTTTGGTGCTGACTGCACAACTATGTGAGCATATTAAAAACCACTTTATATTGGTGAACTGAGTGTTATGTGAATCACATTTCAATGAACCTGTTAGAAATACATAGCAAAAGAAAGGAATTAGAAGTCAGGCCTGGAGGCAGAGGGCAGGTGGATCTCTGAGTTCAAAGCCAGCCTGGGCTACAGAGCAAGTTCCAGGACAACCAGGGCTGTTACACAGAGAAACCCTGTCTCAAAAGAAAAAAAGAAGAAAAAAAAAAAAAAAAAAAAGGAATTAAGAGATTGGTTGGTTACATGATACTTTTTCTGAATTTCTAAACTTTGTGGTATTTATCAGTTTTATAGTTTCCTAATTTGTGCTTTTTACCTATTCTAAATATTCATATTAGTACAAAAAAAACTGTAGTTCCATGTGTAAATTTAATGACAACTATGAATTGTACATTTAAAAAGTTGACTTTTATGACATGTAAAATTACTCTAATAAAGATGCTAAATTTAAAAACTGAGGGGATGGGTCAGTGGTTTGGCTTCAAGCATCCACATGGCAGCTCACAACTGTCTATAACTCCAGGTTTAGGGGATCCGACACCCTCCTCTGGCCTCCCTGAACACCAGGCACATACAGGGTGCACATACATACAAGGAAGACAAAATACCCCTACGAATGAAATAAATTTACAAAAAAAGATTTCAAATTTCTACTCTAAGAATTAAGAAAAATAAGCTGTATTGACCTTCAAAAACGCTCTAAACAGTTATACACATCCTGGGGCACGCAGTCCTAACTAGTACAACCAGTTAAAACAGCACAAAGTACGATAAAAGACTGAATGGCACTTTAAGAAATGCACAAAAGTTGGTATCTCAATCAGGCAAATGCTCACGTTCAGAAACAGACCACAGCAACATGAAGATCAGTCACAAAAATATAGGGGGATAAGACATTTTACCACTTTCTCTTCAAAGCTAAACTCTTGCCTCAGAATGGTTTGTGTGAAAGAAAATATAAACAGGCTCCTAAAAAAACTCCCAAAGCTGAAGAAAAGGGTTCACAGAAGCGCCTACGCGCGCTCTCACACACATACACACAGTGGGGAGAATCTCTTGTGTTTCTCTTGTGTTTAATACATCGAACCTTGGAAGCAGCTCTGTCTAAGACAATGAAGCCTTCTTTCCCCCCTTTTAAACTACGCGATGGTGTCAATCCGAAGACCACCCGATTCCACCACTGCCACCACCACCAAGAGGTGGAGGGAAAGGATCCCGTAGACCAGAGGGTGACAGCTCTGGATAACCCTTTGGACTTTCTATGTAAGAATGCAGCTGCTAGTCTCTTCTCAAGAGAGGGGTAGAGATTTGTGGAGCCGCTCAAATAAGGGGAATCCTTTTCCTGGAAAAGGGTACACCGTGGGGCCATATGTTGAATCAGCTAGGACCAGAGTGAAAGCCAGGCCGCTGGAAGGCACTGTTAGCATCACCAGGACCGCCTCTCGTGGCGCGGGTGTCTTTTTCAACGCAGAAGTTGACTCCTGTAGTTTGGACGCTGGGGTTAAAAGAGAAGTCGGGGAGATCAGGAGCAAACGCCTGCATGTAGAGGCGCCGCAGGCCCGGGGAAGTTAACGGAGGTCGCCGCTCGCTCCCACGCTGCCCTCTGCCCGCAACGCCCGGCGTCGGGGCCCGAGCAGAGCCGGAGCCTCCGCCGCGGTCGATCCCCCGGCCGCCCGTGCCCGCGTCTAGCCGGCTCGACTGGGCAGGCCTAGGCCGCGCCCGGCGGGCCCGGGCGCTGTCGCCGGCAGAGGCGGAGCAGGCCCGGCACAAACTTCCCGGCGCGGCGCCCGCGTCACGGCCGCCTGTCCGCCCGCCCGCCCGCCCAGCGCCATGCCCGCCGCCGCGCCCGCCCGACTCCGCACGCACCCCGTGTCCCGCCGGGGCCGGAGGCCGCGGACCTCACTGTACCTCTAAGTCGCGGCCTTTGTTCTTGAAATTCTTGAGCCGTTGGTTGTCCAATTTCTCGTTGTCCGCCATGGCCGGGTCGGCGACTCTCCCCCCCCCCTCCCCGCCCGGGCCCCGCGGGATCCGCCCCAACCACCGCGCCGCACCGACGCTCCCAGGAAGCCGGCCGCCGCCTGCGCCGCCCGCCCGTCCGTCCGTCCGCTCCCTTCCTCTCGCCCGGCCTCCGCGGCCTCCACTCCCCGGCCGGCCGCCCCCTCCTGTCCCGAGCCCCGGCACCACAGCAGCTCCGGCGAAGACGACCGCGGAGCCGGCGGCGGCGGCAACGGCGGCGGAATGTGCTGCCGGCTGAGAGGGGGAGGCTGCCTCGATCTGAGGGCCCGGCTCTGCGGCCACGCCCATCGCCTCCAGCCCGCCTCGCCGATTGGCCGGCCTGGCTCCGGCGCGCTTGGCCAATCAAAAGGGGCGATGGAGAAGCGGGGGCGGAAGCGCAAAAGGAAAGGGGAAGGGAGAGTCTGGGACAGGAAAGGCTCGGGGCGGAGGGGCCGGGGGCGGGGAGGAGCCTCGCGCGGAGGGAGAAACCCGAGGAAGCCGGGAGAGGCGGGGCCGGCAGGGGGCGGGGTCGCCAGGGTCCAGCCGTCCCGTTTGTGCGGTTCGTGGTCGGGGTGGCCTTGGATGTTGGGATTCTGGACTCCGTTCTTTTCTCGTCCGGTGTTACTTGAGCGCTTCATTCACTCTGGAAAGCAAAGAGGTGTGTCCAAGCTCCACGCGGGCTCCCAAACAAACCCTTAGCCCTGTTCTGGGGCGTCCCAGGGCCGGGGCGTCGGGGCTAGGACTGACTAGGGTGACGTGCATTCTGAAAGCTGGAGGGACAGAGGAAGGAAAGGGGCCTCTGACCATGTGCCCGCAACAGGTAGAAACTTGGAAAGACTTGATACTTCCGTGATACCTCTTTTTGGGTGTTTAGTCTTGGAAAGTTAAACTGCTTGGTCACGAGATATTAAATTATAGAGAACTAGGACTATGGTCCTTGACATAGCAAATGCAACGTTGTGATTCTCGATTAAGAAAGTTAATCCCAAAGATACCATCTTAACCAGGAACATTGTAACCAAAGGCGGACGTAAAACAAGATATAAAAGGAACCTCTCAAATTTTTCAGAAGAGGTCCGGCTGGGGACACAATTTGTAATCTCGGCTATTGCAGCTGAAGTAGGAGGATCCCTAGCGCAAGGCCTGCCTGAACTAGAGAATTCAAAGCCACTCCGAGTAGTTTAGTGATGGGGCTCACTGATATATCTCAAGATAAAAAGTACAGAGATAACTCATTGGCAGAGGCTAAGCATGCTCGAGGCTCTAGGTTCAAGAAAAGAGACTGAGGAAATGTTTTCGAGTTTATATTTAAGTCCACTTGTGGTGGTCAGTGCCTTAAACCCAGCACTTGGGAGGCAGAGGCAGGTGGGTCTCTGAGTTTGAGATCAGCCTGAGTTACATCGAGATACCCTGCCTAAAACAAGCAAACAAGTGTGTGTGTGTGTGTGTGTGTGTGTGATTATCAGTTTATAGTTCCTCAAATGTGTGCAGTTTTGTGAGGCAGTAGCAATTCAGAGTTAGAAGTAAAGAATGGGGAAGCTGAATGTGTTTGAGCTTGGCAGGAGACCCTATTACAAAACCCTCTGGGAACTTTCGGCTTCTGATTCTTTCTGGTATAGTTTGTTTGGGCAGAACCACAAGCAGAAATGAATATTTAACATGCAAATATTTCATCAACACTTTTTAACTCAAAGGTAGGTGTTTTAAAAGTATAATATAATGGCAATGGGTTTAGACAGGACGAAGGACTGAGTTCTCTCAGGAATGGGGGGCCATAGGAGTTACTTGAAGATTGTAATGGGAGGAGGAATGGTTGAAACAAAACCCGTCAGACAGAGTAATGCCTTCCAAGTAAGTTTTTGGTATTTTGTCTTCTTTCTTCTGGGCTTGGCAAAGTAGCTCTTTGGAAGTAATTCACACTGAAGGCTACCTTGAAATGTAAATTGAATTCATATCTTAAAAATCAGATTAAGTTCATTATGTGTGTGATGGAGTGTGTGTGTGGTAAACGAATGTATTCGGGTATGCACATCCTTGTGCAGATGAGGCCAAAGAAGGCTGTCCTACCTCGTTATTTCTCTACCTCTCGGCCCTGAGACAGGGTTTCTTACTGAACCAGAAGCTCACCGTCTGGGATACACTGGCTTGTCACCTCAGAATCCTCCTGCCTCTACCTCCTAACGCTGGGATTCTAGGCATGCACGCCTGACTGGCTTTGCTTGGGATCACCCCAAGTCCTCATACTTGAAGACCCTCTCCCTCTTCTATTTTTATTCTCTGAAGATCCATTTAGTTGAAGTGACATTGTATTTGCATGCTGGGACGCTAGTATATTTTAAAATATGAGTAAGTCAGGTATGGTGGCGCATGCTGAGAATCCAGCCCTGAGGTTGCATGACTCACTGTCACCTGTAACTCCAGCTCCAGGAGAGCCAACACTCTCTGACCTCCAAGAGCATTGCATACATATAGTGCACATGCATGCATACACACAGGCAAACAATCATACACATTCAATAATAGTAAATCTCTTTTTCAAGGGTAGTTAACTTTGGTAAAATTCATGAGGCTACTTAGAATATAGAAAGACAGTAGACTGTAAACAATTTAAGGTTTCTATAATCACGATAATAATGTTACCAGATATTGAGCTGCTACAATCTAGATATGGGTATTTTATTTATGTGAGGTATTTTATTATTGTTATTTGTATGTTTACTCTTATAGCACTTATCCAGCACGATGTGACATGCTTTTTTTGAGACAAAGTATTTCTGTGTAGCTAAGGTTTGCCTGTATTCGTAATCCTTCTCTTTCAGCCTCCTGGGTGCTAGGATTACAGCCATACCACCATGCCTGGCCAAGGCAGTCTTCTAAACGTCAGTTGTTACAGAGTCTCTCAGGTTAGATTTAAGCTGGCCTCTGACTTGCTGTATAGACAAGAATCCTGCCTCCTCCTCTCTGGTGCTTAGATTGTGGGAGTGAGTCACCATATCTAGCTGTATAAATGCATTGAGTTCCTACAATGATCCTATGAAGTAATCGTATTCACTTTACCAATTAGAAAATTGGACCATAGAGAAGTATTGTAATCGATTTAAGTCACACAGTGAACGTTAGAGCAGGCATTTGAACTGCTCCTAACACCAGAGCCCCCTGGGAAGGACTCGAAGGTGGGTATTCATAGTGCATTTTCAAGGGAGATATTATTTCCATTTCCTGTATGGGAAGCCTAAGGTTTGGTGTGATTAAGTAACCTGCTGTGGGCCTCCCACAATTAAGCAGCGGCTGGCACACTGGTTTGATTCTGCGCCTGCCTGGCTCTGAGCACCACACTCTTGGTAGGGAGCTCTTTGTCTCCCTGGCATCGCACACAGAGCTCAGCTGGACCTCTCTAGTCTAGCTCTGAAGTGTATGAGGCAAAGCTGCTCAACCCTCAGTGACATCAAGATCACCTGGGACACATAAAAGCCACGTTGGTGGCCCCTTCCTCAGGCTGTCTGCTTTAGAAGGTCTGAGCTCCTGAATCAAAGCAGGTGTTCTGCTCCACGGGATGACGCTGAGGTCTCCTGGATCCGCCAAGCTTGGCATGGCAAGCAATCTTAAGATTGTGTCAACCTTAAGGAAAGGAAAAAATTAAAATAAAGGCAACATATCACGGTGATGGGTCATGTGTCCTGCAAAATAATGTACAGCATGGTTCTAACCGTAGCTCTAACTCAAAAAAATGTAGCCAAATAATTAGTGTTTCAAGAACTGAAAGTCTCCAAGTTAGTAAAAAACCAGTTTGGTATTGCCGAATAGATTTATGTTGCATTTTTCTGGGTCTAGTTTTTCTCTTGCGTTTCTGCCAGCGGCATTCTTTGGATCTTCTTCACGAGGATTGGCTCCACAGACATAGTTAAGTGCAGTTTTCTCTTCTTGGTGTTAGTTCACGTTGTATGTGCTGTGGCACCAACTTCTAGTCTACCTCTTTGAAGGCTCAGGCCTGCTCAGCTCTCAAGTCAGTTCCCAAAGAGTCAGGCGGTTGTGTCTTCATGACTTGTTCCTCTGCTCCTGAATCCCAACCCATTTGCCAACCGATGTGTTTTCCTCCTTCAAGTCTGGTTCTCAGGGCCTGCCCTGAATGTTTACTCAGGAATAGGGTCTTCTGCTCTGGACTTAGCTTTCTAACCTCTGTCCCACCAGTAAACAAGACAGAAATGCACCTCTATGTTAGTTGTCCTGCTCAGGGAAATTCCTTTTTGATCAAATCAGTGAAGGAAAATCCCAAAGTGCTGTTAACCCATAATCCTTCATCAGTTCTACTAAATGTGACACTCGGCTTCTTCAAGTGAAGACATTAGATGCCTGTGGTTCTTTATCCCATTCTCCCCCCTCCTACACTTAATTTATAGCAGTGTCTAAAGAGATGTCTTGCACTTGTATTATACATTCTATTTTGAAACAGAAGAGTAGAAAAACAGCCAGTTGCCTGGTAAAGGTTTTCACAAGAATGGGTGACTTCCATAGCATCAGTGAAGACAGACTGGTGTCCTGAAGCGGGTTGCTGCCTTGGATAATCCCACGTAAGTATGACGTTAGCTTAAGGCGTTTGCTAGTTTTTGTGCCTATGAACATAGACTACATGTGCATAGGGCACTCTGTATACATGTATAATTGTCAAATAAAAATTAAAAACAACACAAGACTGAACACTTTCAAGGCACATAAATTATTCTTGAAATACACACCTCATAGGATTTACCGGCATTCTATTTTTAGTATGTTACACAAAACCCTCAAGTCCCTTGGAGACCTTCTCCAGTGGAGTTTCCATGGATTCTCCAGATGCTTTCAGAGTCAAAGGGCTCCTGATGTTCCGGATAAGCTTGGTCCCTGCAGATCACCTGTGACAGGCTTCAGAAGAATTTTTGTTCAATCGTTTGATTTTTTTTTTTCTCACTCCATCACACTATTAAGTGCTGGAAAACTCCCTCCTTTCACCCACACACTTATTCTAACACTCATTAGGACCTGCCAAAGGTTGCTCACCATGCAACTGGAAATACAAAGCTGGGAAGTGTTAGACCATCTTTTGTAGAACCAATAAATATGAGAATGTCTTGTACTTCTGTCTTCTGACTACAGTCTCGAGATCTGTCTGTTCAAACCTTGGTGTTCTCTGTGGCAGAACGTATGCCTACTATACTGATCCCAAATTAGACTTCCCAGGTTTCAGTTCTACCTAGAAATAGAGTATCAGAGGAAATATTTACTTTCAATCAAAGTCCTTGGAAGGCAGATAGATACAGGCAGGTCTTTGTGAGTTCAAGACCAGCCATTTCTATATAGTGAATCCCAGGTCAACCAAGATTATATTGTGAGACCCATGGGGGGCGTGGTATTTAAATTTGCCATTTTTACACTTTTAAGTGTGAAAATCCCCTGTGGGTTATCAGAACGTGCTTTCAGTGGTGTTGGAGATTGACCCTAGGGCTTTTATCCATGCTAGATAAGCACTGTCAACTGGCCTATATACCCAGACCTCTTTTCATTGTTTGTTTCATTTGGTTTTGTTTTTGAGACAGCCTCGCACTGTAGCCCAGATTCATGATCCTCCTGTCTCGGCATCTGAAATGCTGGATTTACCAAACCCAACTCTTTGAAGAGCCACCCATCTCGGACTCCTTCATTCCTGGCCGTTCTCTCGCAGGCACTCTTATGAAGTGATCAGAGGGCAAACTGGCAGATGACTAATTTCACCACCACCCCCATTTGCTACATTTTTGTAGGAACAATTTAAATAGACTGTGTATTTCCCATATTACAAAATAGATAGCCTTAAAAAATAAACAAAAAAAAAGAAAAGAAAAAAATATATAGCCTTTGTCACAGTCCCTAAAATAAGACAGCAGAAGGAGATGGAAAGAGATCACATATAGATTCCGACCCACCCCATATGCAACCACTTAGTTTAATGTACTATAATGTATATGCACTATAATGTATTGGGTGCTGTGTAGTGTGATATGTAATAATATGGAATATGGCATAGCATGAATTTGTGTGTATGCTCTGGGTTGGCTTTATGCACATGTGGCTGATACACTTATGTAAAGCCCATGCTTAGTTTAATGTTTACTGTCACCATCTTGAAATTCGTAGTTTTTGAGCAAGGGCTCCACGTCTTCATTTCATACTGGTTCTTGCAAATTGCCTTGTCTGCCTGGTCTGGTGTAGTGTATAATCTTTTAAAATTATCACAACTTTTTTCCATGCACTGCTTCAATTTTTAAAGGAAACGCCTATATAGTGTTTCTATTTTAAATGTAAATAAGCACTATAAATGCAAATAGGATCATCTTGTGTAGCATTTTGCAATCTGCGTTTTCATTTTGTGACATTTCTTCCTATCAGTGTATTTCATAGTCTTCAGCGGCGAAAGAATGCCCTGGTATGTGGATAAGCCATAATTTGTTTAATCAACCTAGCAGTCTCCTACTGGCACTCCTGTGGTAATTTGTTATGACCTAGAGCAAGCACACTTTAGTGTGTGTTGAGTACTTACCTCACTAACTCCCTAGGGTAAATTTCTAGGACTTTCTGAGTCAAAGGATATGGCTGTTTTAGGGTGTGAAACACACAACCTGATCGTCCTTCAGAAAGTTTACACAAGGTCAGACCACTCCAGTTCCACCAGCTCTGCACAGTCAGGATTGTTGCCCTGCACGCTAACTGGCCACAGTAACTCAGCTTCAACCCTGTGCCTCTTTTACTGCCTCCTCTTGTTGGGGAATATTGTTTTCGGGTGTGTGACTTTCATTTACGCTGCATTTGTCTAACTCTGTGAAGCTGTGTTACTGTGCCTGTGTAAAACACCTGATTGGTCTAATAAAGAACTGAACAGCCAATAGTGAGGCGGGAGCCAGGACAGGCAGGGCCGGTAGGCAGAAAGGATAAATCGAAGGCCTTCTGAGAGAAGAACAAGGAGAGGAGGACGGACGTCAGGGGCCAGCCACTTCGCTACACACAGCCAGCCATGGAAAAAGAAGTAGAGAAAAGTATACAGAAATAGAGAAAGATAAAAGCCCAGAAGCAAAAGGTAGTCAGGATAATTTAAGACAAGCTGGCCAGAAACAGGGCAAACAGGCCAGGCATTAATAAGCCTCCATTTGCCTGCAAATTTCAAGCTGCCATTGTTTTTTTTTTTGTTGTTGTTGTTTTTTTTTTTTTTTTTTTTTTTTTTACCGCAGGAGTAGTACTCCATTGTGTAACTGTACCACATTTTCTTCATCCAGTCTTTGGTTGAGGGGCATCTATGTTGTTTCCAGGTTCTGGCTATTACAAATGATGCTGCTATGAACATAGTTGTTCAAATGTCCTTGTGGTATGAGTGTGCATCCTTTGGGTATGTGCCCAAGAGAGGTATTGCTGGGTCTTGAGGTAGGTTGATTCCCAATTTTCTGAGAAACTGCCATACTGATTTCCAAAGTGACTGTACGCTATGAGCTCACTCATGAGTGGGTATTAGACATAAAGCAAAGGATAACCAGCCTACAGGCCACAATCCCAGAGAAGCTAAGAAACAAGGAGGACCCCAAGACAGACATGTAGACAATCCTGGGAAGGGGAAATAGACAAGATCTCCCAAGTAAGTTGGGAGGGTGGGGGCAGGAGGGAGGAGAACATAAGGGAGTGGGATGACTGAGTTGGGGGAAGGACAGAGAAGGAGAGCAAGGAAAGAGATTTCTTGATAGAGGGAAACATTTTGGTGTTAGCAAGAAACCTGGTACTAAGGAAATTCCCAGGAATCCACAAGAATGACCCCAGCTAAGAATCTAAGCAGTAGTGGAGAGGGGGCCTGAACTGTCTGTCCTTCCCCTGCAATCAGATTGATGAATACCTTTACTGTCATCATAGAGCCTTCATCCGTAAGTGATGGAAGCAGATGCACAGCTAAGCCCTGGGCCAAGCTCCAGGAGTCCAATCAAAGACAGAGAAGAGATACTGTGAATTAAAGGGACAAGACCATCATGGGTAAACCCGCAGAAATAGCTGACCCGAGCTAGTGGGAGCTCGCTGACTCTGGACTGATGGCTGGGGAACCTGCATAGAACTGAACTAGGCCCTCTGAATGTGGGTGACAGTTGTGTGGCTTAGACGGTTGGTAAGGCCACTGGTGGGACTAGTATTATCCGTAGTGCATTCTAGGGGCCCATTCCCTATGGAGGGATACCTTGCTCAGCCTAGATATAGGGGGAAGGGCCTTGACCCTGCCTCAATGTGATGCAACAGACTTTGTTGACTCCCCACGGGAGACCTCACCCTTTCTGAGGAGTGGATGGGGAGGGGGGGAGGGAACTGGGATTGGAATGTAAAATAAAGATCGTTTTGTAAAGAACATAGTGTTAAGCGGTGATTTCAACCCTTCCCATGAAAATCCCTTGTCCCATTCGAGTTTCTTCCCCTTTTCCTATTTTACAATGAATCAAAGGAATCCTGGAATCTGTCCAAGGTCCCAGCAGCTAATCGACAGCACAGATTGGACGTAGAGAAGCTCTCCAAGGAGGCACCTGGCACCTGACTGCTGTAGTCCAAGGCATTTTCCAAGTGACCCATGGTTTTATTTACTCCAGGTTGGGATCTTATACCGAGGAGAAGAGAATGGAAACACAGCCAAAATTCAGTAGGACAGAGCATTGGGAAAGGTGGGAAGGGGAACAAAGCCAGGAACTAAAGCTGTCATTGTTTAGAAAATTGTAGTGTGTGTGCATGTGCACGCATGCACAGATCAGAGGACAGTTTGCACAATCCGTTCTCTCCTTCCACTGTGTCGGTCCTGGAGACTGAACTTGGGTCACCAGGCTGAGCAGCAAGGCACTTTTACTCCTCAGCCATCCTGCCAGGCCTTAGGCTGTAATGAAAAATAGGTTTATCGTGTGAGTGTGTACTGGGCCCTTTGAGTGAGGATTTCAGGTCTCTCGGGGCTGGAGTTACAGGGGGTTGTGAGCCCCCACGTGGGTTCTGGGAAAGAACTTGGTACAGAGCATCAGGTGCTCTTAACAGGTGAGCCAAGTCTCCAGACCCAACTGCCAAGTTCTCCCTAAAGTCCAGGAGAAATAAATTTACATAAAAATCTAACTTAAACTATTATAAGGAAAAAAGAATAAATCGTGGAACAACATCTGTACAGACAACAGAGCTACGCCAGAAAACAGCCAAGGAGCAGTCCTAGCTTGTTCACTTTATTTCAAAAATGATATGAAAAACATTAAGAAAGTTATACAAGAAATGTGAGAACTAAGAATTCCCAAGCGAGGTAACAGACATCAAGAAACGTACACAGGGCTGGAGAGATGGCGCAGTGGTTAAGAGCATTGCCTGCTCTTCCAAAGGTCCTGAGTTCAATTCCCAGCAACCACACGGTGGCTCACACCCATCTGTAAAGAGGTCCGGTGCCCTCTTCTGGCCTTCAGGCATACACACAGACAGAATATTGTATACATAATAAATAAATATTTAAAAAAAAAAAAGAAACGTACACAGAGCCGGGCGGTGGTGGTGCATGCCTTTAATCCCAGCACTCGGGAGGCAGAGGCAGGCGGATCTCTGTGAGTTCGAGACCAGCCTGGTCTACAGAGCTAGTTCCAGGACAGGCTCCAAAGCCATAGAGAAACCCTGTCTCGAAAAAACAAAAAACAAACAAAAAAAAGAAATGTACACAGCTGATCTTGACGTTGACTTTTGTGGCAGCTGTTGGCATGGTGAGGGAAGCTAGGTTCTCTACATGTTCAGCCCCCATCTCTCTTTTGCTTAAAAACTTATTACTAGTCGTGGTGTGTTTATGTGTGCACATGTGCCACACATGCATGTGGATGTCAGAGAACAACTTTGTACGGTGGTCTTTCCATCTTCATGTAATGTATGTCAGCATTCTGGAGGACCAGAGCCAGTGGGATGAATACATACACGGACACATACACATACATGGACACATAAACAAACATGGGCACATACATATATTCACGGCAGCAGAATCCTACCTGGGAGCTGAGAACCCAGTATTCACTCGGTCCTAGAGGCCGGGTGCCTCAGCAGTTTGAGCAGTCCCACCATGCCTGTCTCACGGAGGCATGGCCCAACACCCAAAGGTGTTCAGTCCATAGAGTTGGGCGCCTCACCAGTCACAGTCTGGTGCAGAAGCCACCAGACCCTAGTTCACCATGAAAGCTTAAAACGCTGAAGGAATTGACAGCAACAAGTCACAGGGCAGGTTGACCGAGCAGCAGACAGAAAGCTAAACAAGCAAGAGTTGACTAATCCCCAGTCTGCCACGCCCTTTTTATCTGAACCACCAGGAGATGCTGCGCACAGGTAATCAGAACGGTTCTTCAGGTAAGGCCCCTTACTCAGGTGATGCCAATCTGTGGCAAATTGACATTAAAATCAACCATAACACCTCCCCCACCCCTGCAGGAGGCAAGTGACACAATATACTATGAAGGCTTTATGCCCATAAGGAAACTCACCCACACTCTATTGGAACAGTCTTTTGTAATGGCATCTATGCATTGCTGTAAATCAGAATTTCACCCTTAGGAGAGTATAAGGAATATGTCTAAGAAGTGGATACTGAGGGATAGAGAGATGGCTCAGTGATTAAGCACACTTACTGACCTTCCAGAGGACCCAACTTCCATATGTGTCCATATGGTGGCTCACAACCACCTGTCACGCTGGTTCCAGGGGAAGCAATGCCCTCCTCTGGCCTCTGTGCTTACCAGGCAAGCAGGTGGTGCACATATACACATGTAGGCAGATCATTCATACACATAAAATAAACCCAAAAGGATTTTTTTTTTCAAAAAAGAATACTGCAGCAGGAGAATTGGATGTAAAATTAAAACAGTCTTCTAGAAGGTGTTTTTTTTTTTTTGTTTTTTTTTTGGTTTTTTTTTTTTTTTTGGTTTTTCGAGACAGGGTTTCTCTGTGGTTTTGGAGCCTGTCCTGGAACTAGCTCTTGTAGACCAGGCTGGTCTTGAACTCACAGAGATCCACCTGCCTCTGCCTCCTGAGTGCTAAGGTGTGTAATTTTTAAAAGCTTGTCCAGTAGGACTATTGTTTTCTGAATATAAAATGAGAAAATCAAGCTTGGCAAACTCTACCCAGTTGGTTCCTGTGTTCTATTGTGTATCCATTAGTGAGGATACGACTGACCCTGCCTGTCCCTCAGAGCTCTTACTGCTGTCCCCGGGCACCTGTTTGCCCTCTAACCAAGCTTCACTCTCAGAACACTTCACCATGGTTAAGCATAATTTGGGGTCTGCTTAAAAATTCCTTAAAGTTTTCAGCTTGGCCTAAATGTTTATCAAGATGTGGCCCTTTCAGAAACCTGAAAAAAAAAATGATTCTTTACTCTGTTAAAAGCAACTGAAGGACATTGGTTAGAGTGATTTTAATGTCTGCTTGCTTTTATTCAAGCAAGAGCTGATGTTCACTGTCCCATCTAGTCTCTTTAACCTCTCTAATACCTCTTAATAGTAATTATTGAAAAATCTGAAAAGGAGACTAAACAGAGACACATCTGCTGAAACTGCAGCTCTGCTGCGGGCCTCGCCAGGACTCCGTGCAGCTCAATCCTCCAGCCTTGGTTTTCTCATAGATAAGGTGGTTTATACTAATGACAAGGTGTATTTTTCTTTTACTCTTTACTCTTATGGGGGGCCCACCATCCTGCTCCAAAATAAAAACATGGAGGAGGCTTATGCTTACTTACAAATACCCAGCCTTAGCTTGACTTGTTGCTAGTCAGCTTTTCTTAAATGATCCCATCTACCTTTTGCCTCTGGGTTTTTACCTTTTACCTTTCTCTATTTATGTATACCTTTTCTTTCCTACTTATTCCGTGTCTGGCTGGGTGGCTGACCCTTAGCATCCTCCTCTCCTCTTTTTCTCACTCCTCTTTCTTCTATCTATCTATCTATCTATCTATCTATCTATCTATCTATCTATCTATATTTCTGTCTGCCTGGCAGCCCTGCCTATCTCATGCCTCAGTATTGGCCGTTCAGAGCTTTATTAGACCAATCAGGTGTTTTAGGTAGGCAAAGTAACACAGCTTTACAGAGTTAAACAAATGCAACATAAAAGAATGCAACACATCCTTGCATCACCAAACAAATGTTCCACAGCGTAAAAGAATGTCACACATGTTTAACAAGTATTCCACAGCAACAAGGTATTCACCAAATCCTTTTACAATGTTGACCACAGCAGTAACTCTGGTGGTGGGAGGGAAGTGTTTTGTTTTTTTTGGGACAGGATAAAATCTAAAATAGTTCCCTAGATGTTGAGTGTGTTCTTGAGTATGAGTGTACACACTAGAGTTGGACAGGTACACGTAAAGTGTATTCATAGCCCTGTCATAGACTTTCCAAACTGTTGTACACAGGCCAGTGTAGTAGGGAGGCTGCTTGTTTGTTTCCCGGCTGCCCAGACTCCCAAAATAACCACACAGAAACTATATTAATTAAATCACTGCTTGGCCCATTAGCCCTAGCTTCTTATTGGCTAACCCTTACATATTAATTTAACCCATTTCTATTAATCTGTGTATTGTCATGTGGCAGTGGCTTACCAGCAAAGTTTCGGCATGTCTGTCTCTGGCGGCTCCATGACTTCTCCCTGACTCCGCCTCCTTCCAGCATTTAGTTTTGTTTTCCCTGCGTACCTCTGTTCTTCCCCCACACAGGCCCAAGACAGTTTCTTTATTAACCAATGGTATTCACAGCATATAGAGGGGAATCCCACATCAGGTCAGGCCCATTCATTTTTGTGAAAACACATGGCCACAACTCTTCAGGGTAAACCACACTGATAGTTAAACTGTATACAGAGGTTGAATGTTCTGTTGTAGGTTACCCTAGATAACATTGCTAGCCCTACTTTTTATTCATTGTTTAGAAGCAAAAAAAAAAAAGAGTTAAAGTTAGCAGATTTTTAATTTTTAATTTCTTTTTATGTTTTTTTCCAGCATGTATGTTTGTGTGAGAGTGTCGGATCCTTTGGAACTGGGGTTGTAGACAGTTTGTGCTGCCATGTGGGTGCTGGGAATTGAATCCAGGTCCTCTGGAAGAGCAGTCAGTGCTCTTAACTGCTGAGCCATCTCTCCAGCCCCAAAGTTAATAGACATTAAAGTCTTGAAAAATGGCTTTGCCAAAAAGTCACTTTAATTTTATTTTTAAATGTCATTCATTTACATGTGTGGGTGTGGATATGCACATGCTATGGCATGTGGGGGGGTGGGTGGGCGTGTCAGAGGACAGCTTGCTGGAGTC